CTTGCATGGTATTTTCTCAAAGTATTAAGATATGCAAATATTGCTAGATAAACTAATACAATTTTTAAAATAATTCCGATAGTATAAACTATGTGTTTATTGGATAAAACTTAAAATTAGTTTTGGGTAGAGAGTTATAATAATAATAATAATAATATATAATAATAATAATCTACGTTAGCCTTTGATGGCATCTCTTCTTGCTGATCACTAAAATTGCTTTGGGAAGTAAGATAAAGAATTAAAATTTTATTCGTTAAACTGGGATTAACTAACGAATAAAATTCGTTCATGTGTATCCGGCTTTATAATTTGTAAAGTAACTGAGTGACAATTACAATGAATTTTAAATTGTAGTATCTTAATCTAGCCTATATGAGTAGGCCTATATTTACAGAAAAAATATATAAAAAACACTAAAAAAATTATGTTTTCTATTTGAATTTTACTTTCTTCGTTTCTTAGAGGTTTGAATTTACTCCTTAGATAACATAATTCTACGAATCCTGATGCTATTTTAATGAATATATAAATTTAATTTATATTGTTTATAGTCTAGTTTTAGTGTTATTTGTTTAATAACATTTAGTTTTTCAGGGCTATATTTTATGAAATTTTATTACGGTTGTTAATTTAATTTTGTTATTTATCATTTTATAAAAACGAATTTAAAATAAGCAGAAAAATTTTGGTAATTTTAATTTCATAATTGACGCTTGGTGCAATAATTAAGGTAGTCGAAATACTGTATTAATTTAATGAATATCCTAAAATTCATACACTAACTTACGAAAATAAAGAAATTTTACAGCAATATAATGAAGTAAGATAAATTTTCAATTAACAATCCAAAATTCGACGGTTGAATTCAATGTCTATTCATTAAAAAAGTAGGACATGTGCGTATCCAACTATTGATTACGTTATATACGAACACATCGTTAGATTGTTTATCATTATAAATCAATTGAAGACTAGTCAACATTCATAAAACTTTGTATACTAAGTGATTGGGATTATTAATAAGCAAATAATATATAAATAAACTATAAGTCTTTCTATATATAACCATCTTATGTCTCTTCAGAAAATGGAAACTAAGATCCGAAAAGAAAAACTGTGTTTATGGCAGCTTATACATTGTCTTTATTGAATAATCTGTTCAATATTATCCCAAAGATTAAACTCGTATTAAACTATGTTTTATACAAGGGATTTCCGACCATTTTCTTGAGTTGACTCCCATAAAGAACATTTTTTTTCTCAATATATCCCTTTAAATTTTTATTTCCCGAGATTTTGCGTAATATATCAAGCATATTATTAAATAAGTCAGTGGTTCTCAACCTTTTTTGTTGATGTACAGTACCCTATTAGCCCATTAGTTGTTTCTCAAGTGCCCCCTATATTTTTGTATGTAAATTTTATAATTACTGCCCTTATATGATATATGCCCGTTAGATGTATAGAGCCCTTATAACTGAGCGTCATAAAAAACTCTAACTAGACCAGTGGTATAAATAAATACATTTCAGCTAGCTATAGGCCTATATAATATACTTATCAAATAATAACACAAGAAGTGTTAATAATTTACAGTAAATTGATTAACATACGCCATTTTATAATGAACGTTAGATGTACTGTACAGTACCCCCTTCGATTTATGCTCGTACCCCTAGGGGTACAGTCATGTACCCCCAGTTGAGAACCACTGAAATAAGTTAACGAATTTCTCACATAATTCTTCTTCTTATTATTATTATTTTAAAAAAACCATAATAATTATCTGATTTTTTTATTGACCACTTCAAAATTCCTATATCGATCCTGTTAGGAATCTGTTTTATATAGAAGTGTACTAAAACATAACGGCACAAACAGCATTATTGTAACTAATGTATTATACAGTAATATTATAGACCGATGTAAATCATTGTCTGTAAAATATAGACCCTTTGCCTATTAATGCAAGTAAGACAATACAAATTTATAAAGAGATTAATGCGTGAATATACAGAAAGAATATCATTTGATCACTTTAAACTGTAGCAGATATATTTTATATTTTTGTTCAAACTGATCTTAATCTTCTAAGACAATTCCAAATCAGTTGATGCAATTAATTACATATTTTAATTTGCTAAAATTTAATTTTCTTAATTTTTTTTTGGTCTTTCCGCAATTCTGTTTGTTAGTTATGCAAATATTAAATTATTAAGTAAAAGTATAGTAATTTATAAATAGTAAGCTACATACAAAGTGTTCAGTAGTTGACAACGAAAATAAGAATGTGCTTTTTCTACACCGTATTTTTGTCACCTACCTCGGAATTATGTGTTATAATCTATATTTTATTTATTGGAAATTTCCGTTATTAATACACATTATTGCTTATTCTAGTTACTCTACATTGAAGGGTGTAATTACGTAGAGTTAATATAAAACTAATTTTCTAAATATATGCAAAATATCAACTGAAGGAAAGGATATAAGGAAATACTATTGGAATGTTGCTATCATGTGATTTTAATTTAACCCTTGATACACGTAATGTATTATACTGTACAGTACAATACGTTTCCTCAGACCTACGTAACGGACGTATGCAGAAGGGGCAAACGGGAAACTTGCCCTCTCCTGGAATCGAGTTCCACAAATTATAATCGTAAAAGTGATTGAGATACATATCACCTTACACCCTCGATCATGGATCAATACTGTAGTCTATAATCTACTTGTAAAACCCCCCAAAAATTTAAATAAAATTTATTGATGTAATATTGTAATTATTTGTCTTCGAGCATTGCCCTCCCTGGAAAATCTTCTGTGAACTCTTATGCCGGATACTATTCTTACTTAATTCTAAGTTGGCATGGGGGATCAATACTTGCTTTCTTGTTTTTATGTAGGGAGGATGTGCCCACACTACTGTAATGTTTGTATTTGTCTTGTTCAAACGTTTGCTGGTGAAATTTTTTACTTATCACAATCATTTATAACAAGAAATACAACGTTTCCAAACGTTTAAAAGTCTCTTTATACTTTACAATGGCCAACATTTCGATATATTGTGAAGAATTACTAAATTTTGTCATAGTTGCACGTTTATATTTCACATTTTAGTGGACATAATATTAATGGTTTAATATTTATTGTCTTTCATTCCTTCTATACAACAACGACATATTTTTTATATTTTGATAAATATGCTAATTAATGACGTTGTAGTAGTTTTATTTGCCTGCTGATTAAGTTATAGTTAGCAAATTATTTCATTCAGAAAGTGATAATTTGTTATAATAGATGTAGCCTATACAATTGGGCATATATAATAATTATTGATTTTTATTTCCTTAGGCGTGATAAAATATTAATAAATCGGTATATTATAGTGAATCTAACAATGTAAAGTTATTCTAATTAATAAAAGAACCAAGTAAAATTATTAATATTTTAAAATATAACAAAATATGTGCTTGAAAAATTTAATAATTTTCATTTTTAACTGATTATAAGTTGAAATAAAAATGAAAATTTTAAATACATCTCTACATTATTTATTAATATTTAATAAAATAATTTAAAAAATATACGTTGTAATGGATTGTAATGTTTTCGTTACTAAATAGAATTTAATTATTTTATTAAACAATATAGACTAATTGAATTAAATACTGTACACGTGAAATTAATCTGCGTGATGTTCATTACTTTACATTGATGTATCCGTTAATTTTTTTTTAGGTTTACAAAAGAAAAACAAATCACACTCTAAAGAAAGCATTTTAAAAATTTCTCTGTATAATTTTATATACAGTACAATAATAACACCAATTGTCACCGACAACAACCAATCAACTGAATGGTTATAAAATGTATAAAAATGAATCTTTTTCTGTAAACTTAGCAAATGAATTTAGTTCTAAATAAGAGATTTATTAAAACAAAATATAATTATTTTTGTAATTATATATTTTACAAAGCAGGATGCTGTTTATTTTACTGAATGATAATCTCAATTTCCTATTATCTTTACTATGTTTTAATAATGGATACTAAATTACAGACCCGAAAATTAACCCATATAATAAATTTGTAATTTTATTTTGCATACGTTCTTATAAATATATAATAGATTTGAACAAATAAAAGGTTTTATAGAAGCTAATATAGATTTTAAAAGAAATTATAAAGATTCATAAGGTATTCTATCATAGCCTATAAGGTTTAGGCGAAGTTTTTAGTCACGTGTGAAAGAATTAAAACTTCGAAATTCAAAAAAAAGGTAATTTGTTTAGCATTTATTATTTAAACTTAAATTTTAAAAAGAGTTATAATTAATAAACGGCATTCTATATTAAAGTTAACAAATTGAGCTTGTTAAATATTTTGAGTTAATCTTACTATTTCTCGGCTGTTATATAGAAAAGGGGTAATTGAGGCGATCATTCAAGCAATGGCATTCCAAGATCCAATTTGAAGCTTAATAACTTTTGTGCCTTCCGTCGAAATTTTCTGAAAATTGGCATGAAAATTTGTGTGTTAGCGAGAAATATTTCTAGAAATTTTCAGGTAAATCGGTCAATGGGTTTGGGAGATATGGTCCCACCATTTAATATCTCTTGTACTAATCCGAATAATTATAAAGGTAATGATAGCCATTATTAGGGATTAAAACACTTAAAGAATGCCAGTCCAGCAACAAAGTTTCCAGCTTGTTTTACAAACTTCCAGATCTTATTTAAAAGAGTTTATGTTTTATTTCCTGTTATTTTTTTAAACTTATATAAAGTAAGTAGACCTAATACTAATGATAAGTGATTCTGAGGATCAGCAACGAAAGAATTTAGTTAAAAGAATTTTTAAATCGTTAACTAGATATACACAAATAATGATATGATTTTATTTTAAAGAAGCGAAATTCATTAAATAGATTGTTTTAAACATCTTTACAACAAAATTTGTTTTTCGGTACAAAGATTTGGCAAGAAACTTACCTTCTAACGCTTTCAAGGCGACTACGGGATCTAAAACTGGTGAAACTTGTAACGTCGGAGATGTTGGTGTTAAATTAGAGACTCCGGTTCCAGTTGAAGAAATAGTTTGATTACTGCATATGCTATTACCTTCCGTTAAACTTTCGGAAATCTTCCCTTCTGCCCATAATCCGCTGTAAGGTAACCAAGGCAATGTGCGCCATAGACTAGGCATAGAATCCTCTCGATCGTGTCCCGAAATGGTCCAAGGACTAGGAAAATCTAAATCTAACAATGTTCGAGGATAACGAAGATTGGTTAATGCAGTCACTACACCGGGTCCACCTCCCATATTCATATTTGTTATTATTATTTATTCTAATGCAAAATCTAAACAACTTTCTAGAATATTATAACGATTTTGTTATGTAAACATGAAAAATTTCGAAACATCAAATGGAATAACATTTAAAATCATTCCGAATATTTTCTGGCAATAAAAAATAAATGAAATCAAGCTAGTATCGATGATCATCCAATCAAACATCTAGAATATCAATCGTACTAAGGCTTCGTCGTTATTGGTTAAGTGTTAGCCAATGCGCTTACAGCTCATTATGCGTAATTATATATCAGCTAATAAGCGTTACGTATTTGATTGATTGCTTTTGAATGTAACCAATAACGATTTGAAGAATTTCTTAATTACACATTGAATTTTTTTTTGTTTTCGATTTAATAAATTATACAAACAAGAATCTAGCACGAAATATCGTATAAAAAGCTACTGGAAAGCTGTCATAAGTTTTGATAGATTTTTGTATAACAAAACTTGTTTTAATAACTTTAATAATCCGATAATCAAGAAGGGAAAAACAGAAAAATTTGCTTGATCACGTGGCATTCTGTATATATGGTATAAAAATAGATAAAGATCTTTGCGTGAAATCTAAATAAAATAGGCTTAAATCATTTAAATTTAATACTACAACACGTAAAGTCATAATTAGTTTGTGGACTACATAATTTGATTATTAAATTAAAAGGTTTATTAAAGTAAAATAATTTGATTAAAATTCAGGATGTTATCTACATAATTTATCTTATTATTTATAATGATAAATAAAACAAAATTAAGATATTAGATAGGTAAAATGAAATTTGTTGAATGTTAAATATTTTTATTTATTTATATCAAGTATAATAAATAAGCATGATAAAGAATTGATTTATACAGATACAGACAAAAAAAATTTACATAAATATCTTGAATTAATAATTAATGGAGTGATTATTTATTAATTTTATAAAAGAATCTTATAAGAGAATTTTAATTTAAATAATATAATGACAAAATATAGATAAGTCTATACATAACTAATGTTTAGACACATCTACAGTTTAGGCCTATATATTTGCTAAATTATTAGGCCTAAATCTCATTATATTTAAGCTGTGTTGTCTTAATAGCTTATGAAACAAAACATTTTTATTTAAAATAATTGTTATTTTTTAAAGTAACTTGGTAGGAGTTTTATGTAAAATTTATATGAGGATTATTATGTAGGCTATATAAGGATCTATACGAAGATAATTTAAATTTTATGTTCACTTTATTAAAACTTACTGATTAGGCTGTGTTTAAAAATTAATTATCTAATTCTGCTTTGGAAGAAAGCATAGTTAATAGAATGAATGGAATTTAAAGAATAATAAGTAGCCCAATGGACTGATTAACAGGATTAATATGATAATTAAATAAATAAAATGTAATTTTCTACATTACAATATTATACATAAGAATATGATTACAAAATATTTCTTTTAACATAGGTTGAGAGTTCTCATACATGAATAGGTTTATGAGAAAAGTTTTCTAGATTATACAGCAGTCCTCACTTAATGTCGTTCCTGTAAACTGTGACGTTATGCGAAACGACGTATAACGAAACCAATTTACTATGGTTTAAAACAGTGATTCTCAAAGTGGGGGTCGCGACCCCCAGGTGGGTCGTGAAAAATATTTGGGGGTCGCAGAAAAATTGATGACAGATCAATTTTTTTTTTCAAATATTTTATAAATTTACTATAGATTCATGCTTAGAAATAGAAATCAAAAATATATAAAATAATTTTTACTTAATATAAATAATAAAATACAATATGAATATTTTAATATGATCCTGAATATAACTAAATTAATCCCACCTTTGGGATGTTTTTCTACACATACTCATTATGTTAGCGGTGATATATGAAGCTTATCCCAAATGGTAAGATGGGATTTTGGGTGCTTACAAAGCTTGCTCAGCAGTCCAGTTCTATTTGTAAATGTAAACAAANTTACTACCCAGAGTGGTTTCCCGTTGCCTTCTCTGGGGCGCGATGTTACGCGAGGGGAACAAATGCCTTCCGGGAGGACTTTTATGGGGAACTGGCCTCCTATTTAGTCGTTATTGGCAAGGAGAAAACCCGGAAAACTCCAAGCAGCCAGCCTGTCCGATCGCGGCGCGAACCCACGACCAAACTCCCAGTGTTTAGGGTACGAAGACCACTCGGCCACTAGTGGGCCGGTAGCTACACACTTTAATATATTTCTGTATTGAGCTATAAATGCATAAATTTTACAACAAATTGTACAAAACGATATTCATCTACGTACAGATTTCGCCCTTGATGGTTTGATTTTGTATACTTTATGTATTTTGAAATATAATTCTACAGTGATATTGATTGACATACGTTTGACGTCATCACAGTGGGCTACTAGAGAAGAAGGTAAAGATGTGTTATAATTTTGTAACGAATAAGACTGTATGCATGCATCTTATATGAAAATGTACAGAACAACGTTTTTACTGTTCCTAGCATAGTGCCAAAATTTACGGATTTTATTTTATTTGAAAAATTTTGTTGTATTAATGTTTAAATTGTCAAGTTATTAACGTAAGTTATTACTTATTGTTAAAGCGACTTTATAATAAAAACAATTGAAAAATACTGTACTAATGACTACTTGTATTAGTAATTATCTGATATCTTTTCTACGTTTATAATAAAAATTAATTTTATTTTTTGAATTTATAAAATATGTGTGGAGTCATATTTTGTTTGAGTTTTCACATACCACTTTGTAACCAGCGCTGATATGATAAAGGTTGTACTGTGCACGAATGGAAGAATTCTTAAACTAATGTTTATAATGTAAAAATATTTTAAATTTTTAAACAAAAATCTGTAAAATCTAGCTAAATGCTTATCGAAAAAGAAAAATTTATTTACAAATTCGTTAATTTTTTCTTGGATATGTCTTGGAAGATAGTTAAATTCATCCAATTTACACCTACATATTTTCCGTACCTTTTTAAAAATTTCTCAAATTTTTAGCGAGTTCGTGTATTAGGAAGATAAATGCCATTAAGGATTGCAAGAGAATTTGTTTTTTGTTTTGTTTTATATTTATTTAATAAAATAGTTTTGTAGATAAAAATTCTGAACAGTGTTCAACTACACAATTATAAAAATGTTTTGTGTAAGTCTTAATAAAATACACTATGTTTAATAATAATTTTTGACAAAGTACATTTAAACGATGGAAATAATTTAAACGGCTACGTAAAAATCGTATAGTAGGCTATAATAAGTTTTCTAAGTATTCTCTTAGTAATTTTTAAATTGTGACCACTCTGACGGAGTTTGACCTATTTTAACACGTGCAGAGAAAGGAACTTAACTGGTTAACATGTGTCTATCTACTTCCGATTGTAATTTGACCAATTAAAATCTCCGGCGGATTAATACGACAAAATCTTTGTTTACAGTAGGTACCAAGTTACGATAAATAGACTATAACTATATATATTTGTAAAACTTAAATAGTTAAATATTACCATTGTTAATTATAACAATAAATAGGAGTGTCAACAAGTGTATTACATTAAAAATGAAAAGATACCNATAGAAATCAAAAATATATAAAATAATTTTTACTTAATATAAATAAAATACAATATGAATATTTTAATATGATCCTGAATATAACTAAATTAATCCCACCTTCGGGATGTTTTTCTACACATACCCATTCTTCAGGGGGTCCTTTGAAATTCTTAAGTGCAAAAGGGGGGTCGCGGACCAAAAACTTTGAGAAACACTGGTTTAAAATATATAAACAAGATATAAATCGGTTAATATTATTCTAATTGGATCGTGTTTACACCCTCCAGTATTTATTTTCCACTACATAGAATAAAAATTTGAACAAAAATAATTGTAAATGATCACAAATTACTATATTTTTCTTCAATGATATTAAATTAAGTGAGGACTTGCTGTATTACGACATAAGTTTCGTGCATTTTAACCTTTATCAAAAACAACTTACTACGAAATTATTGTCATTTATATTTAAAGATTTTTTAATATTCAATAAAATGCAATAAATAATAAATGTCTTTATAATACGTTTTACTCACCAAAGAGGAGAAGACTTTTTGAAGCCTTCCCCTCCTCCTCAATACATAAAACTAATAAAAATTCCAGGGCGAAGGCACAATTAAAAAAATATATTAATTAACAAAATGGATAAATCGGCAATAATACATAAATATAATCAACAAAATAGAATAGACAATGTCTTCATAACACTTTTATTAAAAATGTATATTTGAATTAAGCTTAAGAACAACGAATTAAACGAAACTAGCTTCTTGAATGGCATTTCTTAGGCTTATGTATGAGTCAGGAGTGAAAGTAGCAAGAACAAAAACAAGTAACTTTAATAAATAAAATGTATTATTATTCCAGTTCTGCACTTAATATTTCTTTAATCTACATGCCTATAATAAGTAAGCCATATGATTCCAATATAAACCTTTTACCTATTCGATGCACGTACAAAATTTAAATCTAGCACAAAGTAGATTTGATTAGATCTAATAAATATTAACATTCAATTTGGAAAAGAAAACATTAATAAATAATTTAAATTCGACATTAAATCTGATCTGAAATATAATATAGGATCATCCAATAATTACTTGTACTGTACAATTTAAAGAAGGAGGGGGTTAACGTTAAGTGCATCATTGTACACGATGTGGAGACAGAAATGAGGCATTGTCTACGGGAACTTTTACAGTGTATTAATGGCATACGAAATTGTTATTATAAGTCTTCTATTTATACGAATGAAATATCAATTAGAAAATATTTGTATATTAGAAAATCCAGCAACGAGTTGCGTAATTTTTCCGGCAAAAATGTTAAAATTGTGTGTCGTGCCATCCTTTATAAAATTTTATTAAAAACTTTTTATATTATTAATTATTATAACATGATACAAAGCTTAATTTTGAGAGTAGCGATGAGTTTTACAAAATATTGTAAATGCTAATGAGTAAAATCTTCATTAAGTCAGGTATCACTCGAAATATGACTTCCTCTGTCTCTCCACCCCTTGTCTTTTAATTACAAAAATTTACTAGCATCTATTCCCGAAATATGAAAACCTCCTTGCAAAATTTCAGAAATTTTCAACAGAAAGTACAGGAGTTACTCGTATTAAGCTTCAAATTGGGTGAACAAAATCGTGTCTCCATAAAAGCTTATGTAAAATTCATCTTTATGCATTTTATGTATTAGTTTATATTCATTTAACTCGTGTGGGGGTTTGCCGCTGCAAACAAGTGCGCACGCATAACGTCATTCGAAGCATTTAACACGGCCAGATTGTATCGAAAGTTTGCGGTACACAGTCAGCATACAAGTATTGTATACAGTGGCGGATCTACATACGAATTAATAGGGTTTAAGCCGTGGGCCTCAAGTGTCAAATACCCACAAAAATTAAATTATTATCTTAAATTTCTAATACCTTTTCATTATAATATCTTATTATAACTTTCAGCATGCTCAAAAATTTTGATCAGGCTTCGCCCCGCTTGAAACTAACTTCTACACATTCGTACCGGCACTCAATTATTGGTGTTCGCTACACACAGGTTCTCTTTTAAACCCTTCGGGGGACTACGGCTTTGTAGCCTAAAAATTTCACTCCAACATCAAACATAGTGGGTACAGTAGCCACATGTAGGCTACGCCGTTCAGAGGAATCTTACCTTCCTCTACTGTCTATCTACTCTCCCTTCTTCTCCTACACTTTCCCTTATCCTCTTTTCTGCCGGCTAAACACCCTGTGTACGCCCGATGTCTTTCATGTATGTATGTATGTATGCATGCATGCATGCCGTAGGTGCCATATAAACCTAACCCGTATCAAGAGAAAAATTAAAAAATAAGCATTGTTCCAAAGATAGGTTTAAATTTGCACGTTTACCTTTATTAATGAGTGAATTTTTTCGCTTTTACTTACGAAACAATCGCAAAAAATATTACACCACATACAATAGTGCAATAGAATAAACTGGATTCGATCAAATAAGTTTATTTCTTATATAAAGAAACATATATTGTCATATATTCTTTTTTTTTACAAATTTTGCTCATAATGAAAACTAAAAAATTAAAAAAAACAAATTATACAAGTTTTGAAAAAATTTCATATGGGACAAATTTTAAACTTCTTCAAAAATAAATATTTACATTACAATATAGATATTCTATATCTTTACTCAATGGAGTAGTTACTCCGGAACTTATGACCATTCTTTCATCTGGTATGTAACGACTTACCGAATTACTAATTCGTATGTTACTTCGTAGAATTTCCTCCTCATTAATTTTAGCTATCACACGAAATGTAGAAGATTTCGGAACATAAATGACATGATTCAATTTAATATTTCCGTTCTGATCACAAATTACGTTTTGTCTTCCAGGTTTCCAACTACCATAGTCAATAAAATTCATTATTCTTATTCTTATACTTTCTTCGCCGTTATGAAAAATTGGGAGTTTAATTCCAGTGAGGAAACAATCTTCTAGAACAGCGATTCCCAACCTGTGGTACGCGTACCCCTAGGGGTACGCGATAGGTTGTTTAGGGGTACAGAAAAAAGTTAGTTATTATGGCAGAAAAAATAATATATTATGTATCACAAACTAATAGTATTAAAAAATTATTANATTTATTTTCCTTAAATTTACGATTTATGTATCCGTTTGTCATAAAAATTTGTTTTTCCACTTTTTCCCGAGACTACAAATATTCGAGTACAAAGTAACTGGTTTCGACTTATTTCTACTTAAGAAGTAGTTAAATAATTAAGCGATTAGGAAATTGGGGACATAAACAAAACCTGATGAAAGAGCCGGAATATTACTATAGCCGAGTACAGTGGGGACTGATTTTATAATATTAGATAATAAAGACAGAAATTTTTTCAGTTCAACGAGAGTGACCGAAAAGTTGTAAATTTTGGAAATTTCCGTGGACAACACCTGGTCCTAAAACGAATTAGTTAGAAAACAAAAGACGGACAATCTATTAAGTTTAACATATTTAGATTTTTACAGCTATGGTGCGAAACGTTTAAAATTTACAAGAACCCTGTCGCGTCTTTTGAGGTATATTAGTGATGCGACAAAAGAAGCATTTGACATTGCCAAATCCCGAGGGTATCGGCACCCTCGGGATTTGGCAGCCCGCGTGCATGTACACTACACACCGCACACCTAGCAGGACCATCTCTGATTCCACTCGTAGGGAGCTATTTCACTAAATGGTTGAGATTTAAAAAGTAAAGAATATTTTATGTTATTTTTATGTACGTTTCATTACAAAGCTATATTCAATTATAATTTTCTTTAAAAGTATATTCATACAATTGAAGAAGGTTTTGTACCAGGTATGTATATTCACCACAGATTTTATTTCACCAAGTAAGTTTTTATAATTTTATTTTTAATTTTCGCCCTTATATCGTGGCTAGCGATTCGGAATGTAATTGCGTTATTGAAAATTTATTTTAAAAAGTTTTGGCTCGAGATGGTATAATGAAAAAGAAAACATTATTAAAAGAGAAAGGCCAATGCCTAAGTTACCGTATTTTGACGAATATAAGTCGCACTTTTTTTACTACTTTTCGGGGCTCAAAATCATGGTGCGTCTTATACTCGACAGGTAACCATTTTTACAGTGAAATTACCTACAATAGTGGTCCACTCTAGGGACCAACCTGTGCAGTGGTCCGTTAAGCGGATGGTCCCTCAACCGAATGGCTAGAGTACCTAGATTATCAGAGTAGTGACATCATGAGTTATCGCCGCCATGTTCTGTCGACTGTCATCACGTGACCTGTGAGTTTACATTAAGAAATGACGATTATTTCAGTTTAATAAAGGTATCGATTCACCCATTCGCCATATTCTTGAATAAAAAACGAATAAAATGCATCTTTAGACAATCCCATTAAAACAGTTTTTTTCTAAATTTTTTGTCTCAAAATAGGGGTTCGTCTTATACTTGACAGCGACTTATATTCGTCAAAATACGGTAAATATAAACGCTTCAATAAAAAAATTTGTTCGACATTTTCACGATAAAATGGCTCTGGAAATGCATAAAAATGCAAAAATTGCTTTGTTGGCTTGCCTACTATTTTCAAATGAAATTAGTGTGTGGAATAANAAAGAGACCCATAGAAAAATGTTTTCAAAATTTCTATAATTTCTATTTTAATATTTTAGTTTTCATAATGGGCAAAATTTGTAAAAAAAAAATTATGATAATATATGGCACTTTATATAAGGAATAAAATCATTCGATGTAATCCAGTTCATTCTACTGCCCTGTCGTATATAGTGTAATATTTTTTATGATTGTTTCCTAAATAAAAGCAAAAAAATTAAATCGTAAATAAAAGAAAACGTGCAAATTTAAACGTAAATTTAAAACAAAGCTTAATTTTTTATTTGTCTCTTGATGCGAGTTCGATATTATGGCACTTATGGAAGCAGATTAATGGCAAGTTTAACGAAAATAGAAATTAATAAAGTTTTCTTTTGTTTACGCAAAATTCGATTTGACTCAAATGTTGCAGATATTGCTGTAAATTTTCCATCGGAGCATCCTTTCTATACTTCTAATTACTTCATGCTACCCTCTTTATTCAGACTGACTTTTATATGGTACAACGGCTGTTATTTTTCTCAATTGTGGTGGCGTAAGCAAGTATTAAGAAAAGTAAAATACCAACAAAAGCACAAACAAGGTGCTATAACAAATTAAGTCATCTGTCTCTGTTCTCTGCTGCTGACCTCGTGACATGTAACAACTCGCTAGTGTCGCACTATGCTAGGACGAAGATTGATCGATACAGAATAATAGTAAGCGATGCTTGGTTTTGAAATTATAAACAAGTTAAAGGGTTATTCAATTATTTTTTTTTGTGAAACATTTTATTGATTTATTTATTTTTCAACAATCGACACGACTTCTAACGTATTTTATTGGATTTTTACCATATAACATCCAGAAATTGGGAGCATGCTATTGGTTAGTTAGTAAAACCTGAACTGTAAACCTTTCAAAATTGAATTTAAGCGTTTTGTTTGTCTTTTTTAAATTTTATGTAGTGATTAATTAGGAGAAATTCAGTTCACTGTCATTGATTTCAAACAGTATAAATATATAATCTTTAATGTGGAAAAATTATTCTATCTCATCATATTCGCTATTCAGAGTATCATAGTTTCTTAAAATTTCATGCAAGATATTTAAAACTTGTTCTGTGAGTTATAACATGAGCGTAGATTTCTTTATTAATTTGTGTATTAGGAGAATTGATGCTATTAAATTTTGGTGGTTGTAGGTCGACAGCTGAAGATAAAGAGTGCGTCTTACATCGAGTTCGGTCGAACTTAATGATGATTTTACTCGTTATTAGTATTTACAAAATCGTTTCATAAAACTCATTCATAAAATTTAAGCTTATTGCCATTTGTAATAATTAATAATATGAAACATTTATAAAACAAAATTTGATAACAGATGGAGCCACATAAGTTGTTATAGTTGCTGGGAAAGTGAAGCAACTCGTTGCTGGATTTTTTTCCACCGAGTAGATAAACCACAAAACAAGAGTGCTGAGGAAATCCCATTTTTTCATTTCATGCTTTATAAACATTTGCATTAGTTCTTTCATCTACAATATGCTTATGCGTGCAACGTTGTTTTACGACTTTTAAAAAATAGAGATTAGTTTTGAGTATTTTAGTTCTAAATAAATTATGTTGTCGTTAGAGAACGAATNTCTAGAACAGCGATTCCCAACCTGTGGTACGCGTACCCCTAGGGGTACGCGATAGGTTGTTTAGGGGTACAGAAAAAAGTTAGTTATTATGGCAGAAAAAATAATATATTATGTATCACAAACTAATAGTATTAAAAAATTATTACGCAAAATATGTTCCTTGCAACAATCACAACTTTATTATATATTTTTCTTTTAGTTTTTTTTTCTTTAATTTAAAGTTACAATATGTAAAATTAACAATACGGTTACTCACTAAATTTCTTAAATGAGGGGTACAATCTAAAGATATGACATGTCATGGGGTACGCTAATGAAAAAAGGTTGGGAACCACTGTTCTAGAACAAATATCTCCGAAATGAACTGGAACTTGTTTTCCATATTCTTTTTTTGATCGTGAATGGAATAACTTCGATTGCAATATATGAACGTTTTTCATACGTTTCTCATCGTTTCTCGAAAGATGACTTCTAGAAATGCTATCTGGAATTATTGATTTGTCAGATGTTACTTTGTAGTGTTGAATGGCATTTACTTCTTGTTCTGTTAAAAATTGTTTCGGATATACATAGCTCTTTAAAAATCCATCATCAATTGTAAGAAATCTGATGTTGAGTAAGAATGGAGCTATGACTTGTCGCAGGGATGTTTTCGAGTTAACTCTACGTCGTGCCCATTCGTAAACAATCTTAAATATGGTCATCTCGTCCAAATTTCGATATATAGGGCGAGAAACCAGTCTACGAATCACAATTTCATCACAGTCCAAAGCGTTTTTATTTTGGAAAAATACTGTGTTCCAATCATTGCTAAAATTCTTCCAACAATAAAATTGTAACTTACGGTCTCTGTTTTCGCAAGCAAACTCGTAAATTTCACAAACATGTGGAGTTCGAATAGGATGAGTCATGTAAACTCGACAGAAAATGTTTAAAACATCTATGTTCAATCTTTTGCTAATTCGATCAACGTTTATTGCATGCTTTAACGAGTAAAATTTTGGTTTTTGTTCTTTCATTACTCTATATTTAAAAAAATCACGACAATTAAGATTAGATCAGAATGTGATGTTTTAAGATATATTTAACAGTTTTATATTTCTATAATAAAGCTTCGTTGCAAGCGATTAAATAGTAAGCTTTAGGCGTAATATATTGTGGACGAATCCAATTGTCATCGTTTTAAGACTCGTCTATACTGATAACAGTGTAAGAGATTTCAAGAAGAAAATTCTACATGGTATTGTTATGTGTATTAAAATAAAATTAAATATATTGTAAAATTCAATGATCAAAGAGAAAACTTACTCATCGATTATCTTCATATTTTCGTATGCATAAGGCAAGTAAAAGTGGATAGATACGTTGTTCAAATATGGCTTCAACATAAATTTTATTTTTGGACTCTATTTTCGTAACTTTGATCGTAAAACGGATATTTCTCTTCCATCCACAGAATGTATTTGAATTGATTCCATTATAAATTCTTATGTCAAATTAATCAAATTTTATTGAATACACTTTGGATGAGTAGAGAAGAAACTATTGTCGCTTTAGATATTGTTTCGTCATAAATAAACATTTGCTTACGTGATTATTACTAATTCCTTTCAAATTACGTAGTTAGAAACTGTAATTACGGAATATTTTTCTTATAACACGGACTTTTTAAACATGGTTCGAGAATTGGGAAAACACCCGTACAGCACGTTTTTGCTTTAACACGGTTTGAAAATAGACGACATCCCCGTGTAAACTGTCATAATTCTTAATACTAGTTAACAGCTAGACAGACAGCGCGAAAAACAAACGAACACAACAACAAACTAGACGAGACGAGACGAGTCTGCTAAAAGAGGCCCTCTTAGTGCCCACAGGGCGGAGAGTGTTTAAAAAACACTACTTATTTTGTAGTTTCCTTCTGTATATATCAATACTATCCCTCCACGAGCTCGACACTTCTATCATTCAGGAAATAATGCTATGCCTGCAGAGTAAAAACATTTTAATAGGAGCCGCTGGAGTCAGGTTTATCATGCAGTGTTTTGACTATAACAAAATTAAATCTATATAACATTTATAGCTCCATCCCATTACTGAAATTCCTGACAGAAGGTAATTAGCCCTTGTATAACAATTATGATAAAGCAATTGATAATTGACAAAAACTAATTTTGAAACAAAAACAAAAAGAATTATAAGAAATACTGTAAAGACCTAATACATAGAAAACGATGGAGTGATGGGCTACGGCAACGCAACACATGGGCGATCTACCAGGAGAGAATGCGTCATAAAATTGCTTTCTATGGAAAGTTGGCCTCTATCTAAATGTTAGACAGGTGATGAATAACCGGAAAACTCAACGCAGCCACTCTGTTAGTGAAACAATAACCTGCGAGCAGCTTATCAGTGTTCAGTGATTTTATACAACCGGCCACTGGATACCACGAAATATAATATGATTTTAGAATGTTGAATAAATATTTACAATTTATTTCTCCAAGTTTTCGAATTTCTGTAATTCCGAACATCGAAAAGAAAATAACAAAATTCTGTATGTGTGTATGATGTGCGTGTGTTGATTTGTATTTTACGTTATATTTCATAACCTCTTTAACTTATAATTTTGCAACTTTGCAGGAATACTTCTACTTATGGGACATCAATGCTTTTACACATTAGAGATTGCAACTCAAGAGGAAGTACAGGGGATAGAGGCTCATATCTTGAGTGTAGAGACATTGAAAATTAACTCGTATGAGTTTTTAGCTAATTAAATCAAATATGAGAAACTTTTTTCAAGTATATAGATGAAAATACGATAATGTTGAAATTTTAAACCGTATCTACTGATAGCCCTACTGAGGAGGCTTTTCTGGAGAAATGCGTTTAGGAAATTTATCGACGTAATAAAGTGTTCTCTCTGCACTTGGATTTGCCTTTAACTTTTTTATTTGTAACATTTATTACATTATTTACATAATATTTTTGAGTTTTAAAGTTATCTGCCCTGCGTAAGGCAGAATGGAAAGAAAAATTGATTTATCGTGTATTTTTCTACAATACAATTACGTAAGAATTTGAAAAAATAATCTGACTCCATAGATTTAAATGATTAATTTTTGAAATATAATCGACTTCACAAGTTTTAAACAATGCACGCCTTCCCAAAAACTTTTTATCCAATGTAACTTTTATAATTATCGTGGGACATTTATAAGAAAGTATCGTTTTCCAGTTCTTATCTCTTTAATAATATAATTATTCCTAATTTTGGATGTTAAATATTCACACTTTTTTTGTAGATTTTAATAAATAAATGAAGCATATTGTTTTTTAACTTGTATCATTTTACCTAATCGAATATTGTAGCATATCATGTGAAAACTAATTTACTGATATTTTCTGTTGAACATTGTTTTCAGACCGTATAAAAATTTTCTTTACTTGAATTATCTTGTTTATTTTCTATGCAAATCTTTCTTTTCCGGAAGTTCTTTGGAATAATAAGACAAGGTAGTGAGATTAATTCTCACTCTACTACAATACAGTTTCTGTATTTATACCGAAACATGTCCGTGTGTTGTCTCGTACGGCCATCAAAACGAACATCTCTCTTATTTGATCAAGAAGAGAGCTATCGGCGTGTTATATCATTTATCAGGAACAAAATGAATTTAAGAAACAAGAGATCAAAGAAAACTATCCAAAATAGTTGTTAATTTCATAGTTACATGAGCTCTTGTCTGAGCGAAATATTATAACAGCTAATTTTTCTGTCATCTATGACCATAATTAGTACACCCTGGAAATCAAAAAATGTGTTGTACCATCATTACAGGTTTATTGTATTCAAACTATTGCCATCATCTTACTGCTGCGATTGCTGGAGCATTCATACTGAGAATACATGTGAGTTCCAAACGCAATCTCTGCTGATTCAGATAAAATTCCAACGCGTGCAAACCTCAGGAGTTGTGCTACGACAAAGCTACCTGGTTTATATGAAAGCTAGAATAGAAAGCTCGGAAATGAAAAACAAAAATAGTATAACTAGTCCTCATTAAAGAAAACGAGACGTAAGGCACGAAAAAACATTGAAGATTTCAATATTGGGCAAATATGTAACAACACAAATGCTTCCCTCACCCTAGCTCATTTAGTCAAACGACAAATTATTGGTCAGTAGGTTATAATACTATTTCGCGGCAAAAAAGCAGGTTTGAATCGTGGAGGGAAGACGCTATTATGTTGGCCGCTGACGAGAGTGCTCTCTGGTAAACGAGTGGGAAACTGGCAGTTCAAGATTCGGATGGTTTGTGGTAAGATGCGAAGATTATAGAACATTCGAGGTTCGGATTAAGCGGAAACGTTCTACTGCATTCTGCTCACTATTTAAGCGTTGCAATCAGTGCGAGTGAGTCAGTTGAGTGAGTTGACGCATTTGAGTTTGTTCGCGAGCGAAAATTATTTGAAACGTCGTTGTATACGTGTGAAATACTGTATTTCTTATGTCGTTTTAAATTAATAACTGCTATATTTATTTCTATTGTATGTTGTAAGTGTTTTAATACATCCGTTAACTATCATCAGTCAGTAACTATGTAACGAAAAAATTTGCTTTTTAAATGCATTTCGCACCTACAAAATCAGAATTTATTTGTAATGTTTGTCTCATAGCAAAATATTCATCGCTCCTGCAACCGGTGATAGCCTCTTGAGTCAAAAAGTATTGACTTACTTCAACGCGGAAATCACATAAAAATATCACACACGTAATGACAAAACACCTTGGAAATGCGGTTGTTGAATAATCGCCGAGCATCTTGGAACAGATTTCAATATGCCGTCATCATAAATCATCAAATACATCGTGCGAATCCACCAGCACAGACTCCTAGCGAGTTTTGCAGAAGATCACTAATTATTTGGTACATGGATTCTTTACTAATGTCTCTGGAACAGCGTTTTTCTGAGGAAAACTTGCCCGCATTCTCACTGCTTACGTCGCATCCTCACGTAATGTTTGATATGACTTATAAGGATTTAAAAAAAACTTACAATTTTTGTAGTTACTACAATTTGAATGATTTCCTCGGTGAAGCTGAACTTTGGAACAACCAATGGAAAGGAAAAAATGTGCCAAATGCCGAACTGAAAAAGATCAGACTACTACTACTACTGAAAGAGATAGAACTGGCTGCACTAGTTAACCAAACGGAATTGTTCTACCCATCGAAAAATGGGTGCTATTTATCTCACTTGGACAGCTCTGCACAACGTGCACTATCGATAGATTCTACGCAGTGTAAAAACATCGATACGTTCAACAATGACAGAAAATCGGCTTGTCAGTCTTTGTATGATGAGTGCTCACAAAAAGAGGGTTCTGGAAGCTTAAAATAGATTTGATAAAAGAATTTTGACAAAATTTAGCAAGAACTGCCGTAGGCTAGTGCTGAAATAAGATTTAGATAAGTTCGAATAGCATAGCAACTAATTACTTTTAGCCGTTTCAAATCTTCAAATCAAACATGTTTTTAATAAACAACGTTATTTCATTTTAATCACCTTTGAGAGAAAATCCTGACTACGCTCTTGGTGCTTCTGAAATTCTGGAACTGTTTTTTAGAAATATCGTGTTATAAAAAAATTATTCTGTAACTAAAAATTCCTCACGACGTAATTTGAAAAGAATTAGAGTTAATCACATGAACAAATGTTTATTTATGAAGAAACAATAGTTTAATTCGACAATAGTATCTTCTCTTCTCATCCAAAACTGTATTCAAAAACATTTAATTAATTTGGCATAAGAATTTATAATGAAATNTAAAATAAATGAAGAAATATTTAAATAAAAAAAAATCGCTAAATAAAAATTTTTCAGTCGACAAAACACCACCTGGACACAAATATGTGAAACAGATGGTAGACAACACACTACCGTCAAGTGGTGGCATCTGTTGCCAAAAATTTTCATTAGAACTGATTTTTATTTGGGTAACGACGAATCGATACCCTGGTACATCTTTATAGAAAAAGGGGGGTAACGATCTGTCGTGACCTAGTTATTTATGAGTTAACTTAATCAAATAACATATGTCAAAACTAACTTACTGATATTTTCTGTTGAACATTATTTTCAAAACTGTGTAAAAATTCTATTTACTTAAATTATCTTGTTTAAGGCAACGTAGATCAATCATTTTTAAATTATTACCGTTTCATCTTAGATGTACACGAAACACTATAAAGCAGGGGTGTCCAACCCGTGGCACGCGGGCCGCATGCGGCCCAAGGCAAGTTCCAATGCAGTCCAATAAACGTGTAAACAAAACCGACAAATGTTTTAATTTTTTATTATTTATTTATTTCAACGGCATAAAGTCAAAAAAAAAGTTTCACAAAGCCGTAAACCTTTATTCATATTTTATTTTTGAGGGAAAAGAAAATATTTTCAAATACTGTACTTGGAGATGTGTGAATGCGGAAGGATTACTAAATAAAGCTGGAGTTGTGACTCAAAAGATTATAGACCCAATTTT